AGAGGTTTGGGTATCCGCGGTCGCCCACTGGAGCAAGCGGTCGACCTCCACAGATTACGTTGGTTGGGGCGTGTGTTACGCATGTCCCCAGATGGGTTGGGACGGCGAGCGATGTTCGCCGAGGCAGGTAATGGATGGAGTAAAGCGCAGGGTGGTCAAGCTAAGACTTGGAACGAGGTATGAAAACCCTAACCAGGAGACTAGGTCACGTAGGCCTCGTTAAGCTCCGTGGCTGGGGACCTCAGGACGGTTGTACCCGATGGTTAGAGACACTGAGTGATCTGGCTGGGTGTCGCAAGCAGTGGCGTTCGTGCATCTTCTTAATTTCTTTGCGACTGTAGACCATTGAACTTCTCCATTTTCCTTTCGACTCCACTTTCAGCTTTCCTTTCTTCTCCCATTCTTCATCCACATGGGCAGCCAAAAGACAGCAACCAAAACCGGCGCACGAATATGCGTGGTTATTGGTTATACAAACTGAATTAAACTGAACTCTAACCAAAGACAATCCCCATACCTTGGGCCCCAACTGAGAAGGCAGGCTGCACCAACCGAAGCCAAAGCTGAAGCCAGCCTCTTCGTGACTCTACGTCATTTCATGATCTGACCGCCGCAGTGCTTCTTCCAGCCGTGCCCGGCGCGTGCAAAGATAGCACGGAAAGGTAGTCGATGGGCAGGCATAAACAATACATGACCAAGCCATCGGAGGCAGAGTAGAGTGATTACTTCTGTTAGAGGACGATTATCCGCACCCAACACGACGACGAACCTCGTCATTACCCATTCGGTGTTCCCATCAGACACGAGCAATACTTCGGAGAAATCCGTGGCCAAATACAGAAAGTCCTCCGCTCGGAGAGGTCAGGTCTCGCAACCGTAAAGGAGAACACCACGAACCATGGCGATGTGCAACCTTTCCTTAAGGGACAGTTGGATGTCATGGCGGTGCCACAGGGGTCGTAGGTTGGCGCAAGCTGCTCTAGCTTTCACTACTCGTGATATGATCTCTTCTCCAACACCAACACCAGCTTCGATCAAGCTACACGTTGAGGATAAATCAATTCCAAGAGCCATCTAAGGTTCCGTCAACTAGGAACGAGTACAGCTCGATAGACTTGTTGGTATTCGGAGCTAGGTTTATTTCGGTGAACATCGATACAACACTGATGAAGTATCATTTTGATCAAAACGCGGTGAAGAGTGAACAATTGTTATGCAGGTTTGAAATGCTCAGCAATTTTCTGTTGACCTTATTCCTGAACCAAACAAACGCATCTTGAATTGCAAGATCTACAGCTGCTCCGATTTAGTTGGATCTCAACCGCAGTGCGAATCCAACTGAAGACTGAAGCGGGAACCTGAGCGATAGAACACAATCACACTACCTCATGATCACTAGGGCAGTTGATCAGATCGTTATCACGGATTGTCTTTACANNNTAGCACAATCCAACTGGGCAGTGTTGTTGCTTGTATCACACCTCACTCGTGTCTTAGCATTAGTATCCGGCGTGATGACTCAGTTAAAAACATTCAAAACCCGACTATCTGGTACATTAGAGTAGTGGACAACAAGATAAGGAACAACCTGCTCTGTGGTCAAGTGGGTAAATGCTTGCGTTCTCTTTTTGAGGTGCCACGTTTCATGCTCAAATAAGTCTATGGATTCGCACTGCAACTAAACAGTACAGTTCACCGATGAAATCTTATTCTGATCGTGACGAGAACAATATTGTACTGCTATGGCCATGCAGCTGTGATGCGTCAACCCTCCCGGATGACTCCAGCCGAGCTCATATGCATGGGTCAACAGTATCAATCAATCAACAGTCATACAGTTCAAACAGAAACCGTGGAACTCGAAGAACAAGAACGGTGATTGGCTGATATTTGTTCGACCGATGATATTTGTATTTGGATATTATTTAACCCCATCGATTTCTTTCGGCAAACGAGCCGCTATTTCTGTGACCTGCGTCTCGGTGACGGGATATTCCAGCGTACGATTGCTAGTGCGATTCTATTCTTCATTTGCGACTGTAATTCGTGCTTCGTAATCCGTACCTACCTCAAATACTACAGCAACTCAACTCAGGAAATCAGAACACAAGGCAGTATGCGAATCAGAACCAGGTAAATGGTTAAATGCATGCTTAGTGAGAATAAATATATTGATCGGTCAACTATGGTCTAAAACTAGGTTGAGATAGTTCACGGACAAACAGTCTGGATCAGGATTGGCCAATGACGATGCGGACAACTGTAACACGTGACAATCAATAGAAGCCTATCCACGAAGTAATTCACCAAATATTTTGATCAGATTCTTCACTGCTTTCACATTCAGTAATTATTTTGATCAACCCCATCCTCACGCTATCAGGAATGGTTGAAACCATTCAAAAACAACGTCCAACATCATTTGGTGTTCACGTATTTGGCAGCTGAACGTTTCGGATAGAAATGAAGAACTTAGTTCCAGAACATTCATTGATCAATAGTTATTTTTATTGCAAACTAATGCTACTATTATGACTACCACCAGCCTTCGTGTGCTCCAAAACCCGAACTCACAACGTACTTCGGGCAGTCGTTGTAATAGTGCACGGGGAAAATCAATCTAACCGATAGCGAGAAGTACTTTTCACCATAGAGGTGACTAAATATGTTACCGAAATAACTTTCAGCATCATCTCACTTAGTCCAATCAAGCCACTGATTCGACCGAAACACTCTTTATGACCTATTTCAAGTATCACTGATTCATGTACAAACGTAGTTTTGACAAGGAACAAAACACGGACGAGGCTTCTCAAACTGACTCCATTTGCGAAGGGTACGCTGTCCCTGAGTGGAACGCCAATGATTACAGGCGGGTCCCGTCTCTGAAGCAACCGACAAATTTGGATTTAACAGCTAATTCAACGTAAATATCGCTATCTATTTAAAGAAAATCTTGTATAACACATTGTTTTCACAGGACTTCCTAATGAGTGGTCATTTTGTTTTCATTTCCGATGAACTGTTATGAATAACTGCGTGTCCGTATCAGCGATGATAGTGAGTCAGCTTGCTATTTGCAAACTATGCACAATTAAAGCCAAAATTCACTCAAAACTAACGCAAAACATGCATAGGCTGTCCGATCATTCAGATGCCCAATGTTGTGAGGTGCCACTTACATTTGTGAGTAGTATATTTGGTGTGCCTACAAAGATGTAAATGGTGGTTTCTGTCAACGGTCAAAAATGAACGAGACCGCCTGGAGAGCATCAATGCATTAAAATGCTAACTACAGAAAATCTACCGCCGACCAGTTCCATCATTTTTTCTGCGTGCTTGTCGAACTTACGATTGTTCTGTTTCAGATGAGATGCTTCGGCCTATGTAACCCTAGTTACCCATGCTCATATCTTTATATGAATTGAATAACTTTCCATAGTCTGTTGATGCCTTGTGGTATTACGACACCGGTATTTAATATCAATAGATTACCATATACGCTATAAAGCCAAATTTATCGAAAAGAGTAATGCGCTGGAACGGTCTGTTATAGTGGAATGATGATGATGACGATGATGATTCGGCTGATGATGATGAAGATGATGACGATGATGATGATTCGGATGATGATGATGATGACGATGATTCGGATGATGGTGATGATGATGATGATGATGATGATGATTCGGATGATGATGATGATGATGAT